TGCCAGAGGGGGCCGCCGGACACGGAAGGACCGTGGAGAAGCGAGACAGGACAGGCCCCCTAGAGGGGTCAGCCAGGGACACCGCAACCGGCCGGCTCAGCGGCGTGAGAGTGGTGCGGTCCCGAAAGAAGGAGCGAGACGCTCCAGAGTCAAGGGTGAAGGTGTGAGAGGCCGAAGCCGACACAGTACCTGAGAGGGCAGACTCACCAGTACCTGAGAGCACAGACGCACTGGCACCTAGAGCAGCAGCCTCACGAGTACCGGACGCAGTAGTACCAATGCCCGGGTCGGGCGGGAAACACCGGTAACAGTCATCCTCATCACTACCAGTCACAGCATACATAGCAGAAAGAATAGCATCAAAGTCAAGATCTTAAATAGCTACACCAGCCCTAGACAGCTCCCCCCAGCGGGGGATCTCAGCGGCCTCCGGAAACTGCTGACGCCAGGCGTCGGTCAGGCGGCCAAAGCAGCGGCGGGCTGTGTGGGTGCCTCCACACCTCTCCCCCGCACGGTCGCCGGTGCGAAGAACGTAGGGGCAGGGACCAAACGCACCACCACGCTGACGCTGCAAGTACCACTCACGGAGCTGCTGAGGGGCGGGGACGGTGCGAGAGCGCTGCTGCTGCTGTGGCTGCTGCTGCTGCTGCTGCTGCTGGCGCTGACCACCCCCAGAGCTGCTCCGCTGAGACGAGCCACTCCGACCCCCGCCGCCACCGCCACCCCCGCCTCCACCGCCACCCCCGTCTCCACCGCCACCGCCCCCACCGGCACCCTCACCCCCGCCTCCTCCGCTACCTCCTCCGCCGCCACCTCCGCCTCCACCGCCTCCACCAGTACCTCCACTCCCGTTACCACCTCCACCGCCACCCCCACTCCCCCCGCCACCCCCACCTCCCCCGCCACCGCCCCCTCTAGCTCCACCCGCTCCCTTGCCCCCTTTGCCCTTGCCATTACGGCGTCTACCGCTGGGGGCAGACGCCGCACCGACTGACTCAAAACCAGCGAGGTCGGCCGCAGCGGCAGAGGCGATAGAGGGCAGCAGGGGGGAAGGAGAACACCCCTCAAAAATGGGGGTGCGAGGGTCACCCCGAGAGGCCCCTATAGCGACGATGCTCTTCTCAGCCGCTAGCAGGGACTCCTCAAGGAGGTCGACAGTGAGGGTGGTGGGACAGACAGAGAGAAACTGGTCCCTAACTACACGAAGGGACTCAGGGAGACGAGTGACGAGAAAGTAGAGAGTGATGTACATGGGAGGAGGGTTTGCGGCGCGGAACTCAGCAGGAAGGGCAGCGCGGTAGCGAGCGTCACTAGCGCGGAGGTGGGTAACGAGGTCAGCAACAGTGGGAAAGGCAGCGAGGTCAGGGAAGAGAAACGATAGCATGAGGCGGCTAAGTGTAGCGGATGAAGGGGAGGAGTAGCGTGCAACTACAGCGTCGTACAAGGCCTGAGCGGTCTTGCACTGACTAAAGTGGGCACGCTCGGAGGAAGGGAGGTGGCGACGCACAGCAAGACGTGCAGCAGCATCGCGGGTCGCCCACTTGGAGCGAACGGCGGGGTCAGCATCAGCAGGAGGGGCAGGGACAGTGCCAGAGACAAAGTCAAAGAGAGAGACCTCATCTATCGCATCACACAGTAAGTACAGCTGCAGGTCTTCAATCCAGACTGCAAAGTCAATGGCTCTACCCTCAGCGTCAAAAGCTAGGACAGTGGGGGTGGCCATGACAGCAGCTGACAGTCTCACCGGGCAGGAAAAGTCGGGTAGGTCAGCGGCACTGTAACACAGCCCAGGAGCAGCAGTGGCCCCACAGGAGCAGGAGTGCGGCTCCACTGGCGGCTCGGGCGGCTCGGGCGGCTCGCGCGGCTCGGGTGACGCAGGGGCTCACGGGCGGCGCGGGCGGCTGCACGGGCGGCTGGGGCTGCTCACGGGCGGCACGGTGGGCGGCTGCACGGGCGGCTGCACGGTGGCGCGGCGGGCTGCAGCACGGGCGGCGGGGCCGACGGCGGGCCGTAGCGGGGCTGTAGCGGGGTCGGCGGCGGGCTGTAGCGGGGCTGTAGCGGGGCTGTAGCGGGGCTGTAGCGGGGCCGACGGCGGGCTGTAGCGGGGCCGACGGCGGGCCGACGGCGGGCTGTAGCGGGGCCGGCGGCGGGCTGTAGCGGGGCCGACGGCGGGCTGTAGCGGGACCGGCGGCGGGCTGGGGCGGGGCCGACAGCGGGCTGTAGCGGGGCCGGCGGCGGGCTGTAGTGGGGCCGACGGCGGGCTGTAGCGGGGCCGACGGCGGGCTATAGCGGGGCCGACGGCGGGCTGGAGCGGGGCCTACGGCGGGCCGACGGGGTCTAGGCGGGGCCCACGAGGGGCCGTAGCGGGGCCTAGGCGGGCCGACGAGGGGCCGTAGCGGGGCCTAAGCGGGGCCGACGGGGCCTAAGCGGGGCCGACGCGGGGCCGAAGCGGGGCCTAAGCGGGGCCGACGGGGCCTACGCGGGGCCGACGAGGCCTAAGTGGGGCCGACTAGGGGCCTAAGCGGGGCCGACGAGGGGCCTAAGCGGGGCCGACGAGGGGCCTAAGCGGGGCCGACGAGGGGCCTAAGCGAGAGCACGGCGGTGAGGGCGACACGGAGGGTCGCTAAAAAAAAAAACGCGCGCCTCGGGGCGCGCTTCGGTGGGCCCTAGGAACAGTCCCTAGGAAGGGACCTGCTCTGATTCCATGAGAAAATATGAACGAGAATGGAATGACTATGAACGAAGTGAGTACAAATAGGAAACCCTAATTTGGGTTGTACCCCCTATGGGATACCCCACTATAGCCTACAGAAACAACTAAGCTATATGTTCTGACACTCCCAACTAGGGATGAGCACGAGGCGAACACGAACATGTTCGCGTTCGCCTTGGCTTGAACATGGCCGTTCAGCAAACCGAACAGTGTTCGGTTCGCTGAACACTTTTTGTCAAAAGGGGTGTTCGAAGTTCGCCTGTGAAGGCGAACATTTCGAACACTTTGGCGAACACGAACATGTTCTCCAGGAACATGTTTGTGTTCGCCTTCGAGGGCTGAGCAATACAAAACACTAGATTACGGTGGGAACCCTAATCGGTGCCCTTCAACTTGAGCGCGCGGAGTAAGTGTCGTTCCCAACTCGACTAACCTAAGTGTTGTAGCATATCTTCCGTTCTAGGCTAGTAGTAGAGTAAGGTGAGGTGAGGATGTGGCAGGGTGGTAGAGGGCGTGCTGGTGGCAGCGATTGCGACAGGGTCGCGGAGCTAAAAAAAACGAGTTGAAATGAATTGGCCGCGACCCTAAATTAGGTCGCGGCCAATTCGTCGACGAACACTTAGGTGTTCGTCGATGTCCCGCGTCGAACACGAACGTGTTCGTGCTCGACGCGGCTCGGCATATCGACGCGGGCGAACACCGAACACGTTCGCACGAACATCGAACATGTTTGTGTCGAACATTTTTGGGCAAAAAAAAATCCCGTTCGGTTCGTCTCGAACATGTTCGAGACGAACTGAACGAGTGCTCGGCAATATGCTCATCCTGTCATAACATTATAGCTTATACATTTGTGTAGGCTGTAGTGGGGTAGCCCATATGGGGTACAACCCAATTAGGGTTAGTACTTGTACCCAACTCTTTCATAGTTCATTCATCCATTCTCACTTCTCGTCATGGTATCGAGCAGGTTCCCGAGTGGGAATACTGCCTAGGGCCCACCAAGTATTTTTTTTTCCTTCCCTTTCCGGAGCGCGCTTAGCTCCTAACCCGAGTAGCGCCCCGAGTCGCCTTAGTGGCCCCTTTTGGCCGCCCTTACTGCTCCTCGAGCCGCCCACCGTCGGCCCCGCTTTGGCCCCGCTTAGGCTCCGTCGGCCCCGCTTAGGCCTCGCTACGGCCCCGTCGGCCCAGCTTAGGCCCCGTCGACCCCGCTTAGGCTCCGTCGGCCCCGCTACAGCCCCGCCTAGGCCCCGCTACGGCCCCGATTGGCCCCGCGTAGGCCCCGTCGGCCCCGTTGCGGCCCCGCTTAGGCCCCGTCGGCCCCACTTAGGCCCTGTTGCGGCCCCGATACAGCCCCGCTAAGGCCCCGTCGGCCCCACTTCGGCCCCACTGCGGCCCCGCTGCAGCCCCGCTACGGCCCCGTCGGCCCCACTACGGCCCCGCTAAGGCCCCGTCGGCCCCACTTAGGCCCCGTTGCGGCCCCGCTACAGTCCCGCTACGGCCCCGTCGGCCCCGCTACGGCCCCGCTAAGGCCCCGTCGGCCCCACTTCGGCCCCGCTACAGCCCTGCTACGGCCCCGTCGGCCCCGCTGCAGCCCCGCTACGGCCCCGTCGGCCCCACTACGGCCCCGCTAAGGCCCCGTCGGCCCCACTTAGGCCCCGTTGCGGCCCCGCTACAGCCCCGCTACGGCCCCGTCGGCCCTGCTACGGCCCCGCTAAGGCCCCGTCGGCCCCACTTCGGCCCCGCTACAGCCCTGCTACGGCCCCGCTACGGCCCCGCTAAGGCCCCGTCGGCCCCACTTCGGCCCCGCTGCGGCCCCCATTACGGCCCCGCTACGGCCCCCTCCTTCGGCCCCGTCAGCCCTGCTGCGGCCCCACTTCGGCCCCGTCGGCCCCTCTTAGGCCCCGCTACGGCCCCTCTTAGGCCCGTGCTACGGCCCCGTCCTGTAGCCACCGCGGCCCCGCCCACCCTTGCGGCCAGCCGCCATCTGCCACCCCGCCGCCCAACAACCGAGCCGCCAGGCAGCCGAGCCGCCCAGCAGCCAAGCCGCCCGACAACCGAGCCGCCCGGCAGCCGAGCCGCCCGACAGCCGAGCCGCCCAGCACCGTGCAGCCGAGCCGCCCAAGAGCCGAGCCGCCCAGCACCGTGCAGCCGAGCCGCCCGGCAGTCGAGCCGCCCTGCAGTCGAGCCGCCAAGCAGCCTGATCGCCCCACCTGCCTGGTAAGAGCCCAGTCTCTGCCACTGCACTGCCCTGCCTCACTGCACTCACTGCCTGCCTACTGTTGTTATGGCTTCCCCTAGTGTTCTCACTTTTGACGCTGAGGGTCGGGCGGTGGACTTTGAGGTCTGGGTAGATGATCTACAGCTATTTCTGCAGTGCGATAGGGCAGACGGCCTCTCTCTGTTTGACCTCACTTCTGGTGCCTCCCCTGCCCCTGCTGCTGATGCTGACGCCACTGTTCCCTCACAGTGGGCCACACGTGATGCTGCTGCTCGCCTTGCTGTTCGCCGCCACTTACCGACCACTGAGCGTGCACACTTTAGCCAGTACAAGAGTGCTCATACCTTGTACGACGCTGTAGTTGCACGCTACTCTTCCCCTGCCACTGCTGCACTGAGCCGCCTCATGCTTCCCTTCCTCTTCACTGACCTCGCTGCCTTTCCCACTGTCGCTGACCTCATTACGCACCTCCGCACTCGTGACACTCGCTACCGCGCTGCACTTCCTGCTGAGTTCTGCGCCAAGAACCCCCCCCCCCATGTACATCACCCTCTACTACATAGTCACCCGGCTCCCTGACTCTCTCCGCGTAGTCACGGACCACTTCCTCTCTGTTTGCCCCACCACTCTCACTCTTGACCTCCTCGAGAAGGCCCTCCTAGCGATAGAGAAGAGCATAGTCGCTGTAGGAGCCTCTCGTGGTGACCCTCGCACCTCCGTCTTTGAGGGGTGTTCTCCCTCCCCCCTCTTGCCCTCTGTCGCCTCTGCTGCTGCGGCCGACCTCGTTGGTTTCGAGTCGGTCGGCGCTGCGTCTGCCCCGAGTGGGAGACGCCGCACCGACAAGGGCAAGGGGGGCAAGGGCTCTGGAGGGGGTGGAGGGGGCGGTGGAGGTGGTGGTGGAGGCGGTGGAGGGAGTGGGGGTGGTGGTGGGACTGGTGCCCGGGGTGGTGGCGGCGGCGGCAACAGTGGAGGCGGCGGTGGCGGTGGAGGTGGCGGAGGGAGCGGAGGCGGCGGAGGTAGTGGAGGAGGCGGAGGTGGAGGAGGCGGCGGAGGCGGCGGAGGCGGCGGCGGAGGCGGCGTTGGCGGTGGTGGCGCGAGTTGCGACTCTGCGCCGAGGAGTGGCTCCGGTGGTGGTCAGCGCCAGCAGCAGCAGCGAAGTGGTGTGACCATGTCCCTTCAGCAGCTTCGTGAGTGGTACACTGCACGCCAGCGCGGTGGGGGTTTTGGTCCCTGCTCCTACATTCTCCGTACCGGCGACCGCACTGGTGAGCAGTGTGGAGGTCCGCACTCCACCCAGCGCTGCTTTGGTCGCCTGACGGACGCGTGGCGTTGCCACTTCCCTGAGGCGTCAAAGATCCCTCGCTGGGGAGATCTAGCCAAGGTCGGGGTTGCTATCTTTGATCTTGACTTCGATGCTATTCTTGCTGCCATGTATGCTGTTGCTGATAGTGTTGAGGGTGCCTATCACCTGTGTGTACCGCATGACCCGGGCATTGAGGCTGCTGCGCTAGGTGCTGGTGAGACTGCTGCTCTAGGTGCTAGTGCGTCTACTGCCCCAGGTGCTAGTGCCTCTGCCGCCCCAGGTGCTGGTGAGTCTGCTCTCTCAGGTACTTCTTCGGCTCAGGCCTTCCACACCTTAACCCTGGACTCGGGTGTGTCCCGCTCCTTCTTTCAAGAACGCACTACACTTACGCCGCTTAGTCGGCCGGTTGCAATCTCCCTGGCAGACCCCTCTGGGGGTCCTGTCCTTGCTAGCTTCTCCACTGTCCTTCCGTGCCCTGCAGCCCCCTCTAGCACTCTGTCTGGTCTTTACCTCCCCTCGTTCTCTACAAACTTGGTGAGTGGAGCAGACCTACAGGATCGAGGGGTTGACCAGTTCACTCCTGCGAGTCAGCGAGTGACCCACTGCACGTGTGCTCGGACAGGCCGACATTTGGCCACCTTCACTCGTTGGCCAGGGTCGAGCCTGTACACCCTTACTACTGAGTCTCCTCCGACTGCTGAGTCTGCCCAGGTAGCTGTGTCGAGTCAGGTGTTTGCTGCAGCGTCCAGGTCTGATCCTGAGTCTGCCCCCTGCTCGTGTCGTTTAGAAAGAGAAGGAAGAGAGGACTCTGGAGGAGACGGCAACGGGACCTGCAGAGGAGTAGTGGAAGGACGCAGTGCCATCTAGTGTGTGCCGGGGACCGCACGAAGACGCGGACGCGCAGCACGACGACTAGTGCGAGCAGCACGAACAGGCGACGCAGGACGAGACGCAGGCTCACGATGCTCAGCAAGACCTCCTGTAGGACCAGTGTAGGGAGAAGGAGCAGGTAGCGGGGAGGCGGGCTGTAACTGTGACTGCGACTGGACAGGCTGTGGACACTCTAAGGGAGGAGCAGGACCTGGAGAGGGCGGGAGACCAAGAACCTGCTCCAGGAGCGGAACGAAGTACGGCCTCGGCCGCTCAGCGCCTCCAGAACCAGCAAGGATGGCACCAGTACCACCAGCGACAGCACCAGCGCCAGCAGCACCTCCAGCTCCAACAACGCCAACTCCAGTACCCTCAGAAGCACCAGCGCCTGCAGCACCGCCAGCGCCAACACCCTCAGCAGCTCCAGCTCCAGCAGCACCAAATCCAGTAGGACCGTCAGCACCAGCAGCCTGAGCAGCACCCCCAGACGCACCAGCACTAGTAGAAACACCAGCGCCAACAACCCCAGCAGCTCCACCTCCAGTAGCACCAGCACCGCCAGCAGCTCCAGCAGGACCAACTCCAGTAGCTCAAGCAGCACCCCCAGTCTCAGCAGCACGTCTCCACCGGCGGGCAAACCACTCGCGCAACTCCTGTGGAGAGAGCGGCTCCCGCCTCGACGAAGCACCGCCGGCGGCCACACGAGCAGACCGAGCACCCCCAGGCTCCGCACCTCCTTGCTCAGCACCCCCATGCTCAGCACCCCCAGACCCAGCACCCCTAGGCTCAGCACCCCTAGTCTCAGCACCCCCAGACTCAGCACCCCCAGACCCGGCACCTGCAGGCTCAGCACCTCTAGCAGCACCAGAGTCAACAGCTACCTCGACAGGCTCGACTACGTCTACGTGGGACACACCTGACAGGGCAGGACCCTGAGGGGGGAGGGGGTCTGCCTGGGGAGGACCTAGCGCAAGGAAGAGCGCCGGCGGGGGGAGGGGCGCAGTGCGGTAGGGGAAGAGACGTTAGTAAGGCACCGACTCGTCAAAGGTGACGTCCTGGGAGGATAGAACACGGCGCGAGGTAGGGTGGTAAAACTGCCACCCAGGCGCGTCAGGGGGGAAGCCAAGGAAGAGGCAGGGAACTGCACGGGGGGATAGCTTGTCCGTAAACAAGTCGCGGACAAACGCCCGAGATCCCTTGACCCGAAACGCAGACGCATCGCCAACCTTCCCTGTCCACCCTAAGGCGGGGGAGGTCTCTGGCAAGGAGACCCGGGGCTGAAGGTTGAGCTGATGCGCGGCGTACTGAACCGCAAACGGCCACAGAAAATGGGGGGCAGCCGCATGCATCATGGACGTACGAGCGACGTCCATGACCATGCCAATGCGGCGCTCAGCAATCCCATTTTGTTGTGGAGAGGCCGGAAGCGTGAAGGTCTGGCGGATGCCCTGTGCACGACAGAAGGCTCCCAGACGGGCAGAGGAAAACAGGAAAGTCTCTGTCCGCCTCTGTCCGAGTGCAGACGCAGAACAAGAAAGTCCGAGCCGAAACTCTCTCTGAGCTGGAGACGAGCTGCGCGGATCCAGTCGATCAACACCTCAGTGACGTCACCCTTGCTGCGCAAGAGGAAGACTGTGGTGTAACACAAGTAGTCGTCAACCACCAGCAGAAAGTGCCGCTCTCGCCCCTGCCCACTGACGTGGGCTGGGCCCCACACGTCCATGTGGAGAGTCTGCAGCGGAGCCTCTGTCTGAGGAAACTCGGAGGAGTGAGGGGCGGCGCGCTGTCGCCCCCCGACGCAGGGGACGCAGGTAGGGCCAGGCCCCGGAGGAAGGGGAGGGAGAGACCGAGGGAGACCAGAGACAAGGACACGGGAGGCCATGCCTCGGAGACGAGGCAAGGAGGGGTGACCAAGGCGGTGGTGCCAAAGGAGAGTCTGGTGGGACAGCAGACGACACGAGCAGGGGGCAGACTCAGGACCAGACCTAGACGCCGCAGCAAACACCTGACTCGACGCAGCTACCCGGGCTGACTCAGCAGCATGAGGAGGCTCAGTAGTAAGGGTGTACAGGCTCGACCCTGGCCGACGGATGAACGTGGCCAAGTGTCAGCCTGTCCAAGCACATGTGCAGTGGGTCACTCGCTGACTCGCAGGAGTGAACTGGTCAACCCCCCTATCCTGTAGATCCGCTCCACTCACCAAGTTTGTAGAGAACGAGGGGAGGTAGAGACCTGACAGGGTGCCTGAGGAGGCTGCCGGGCACGGTAGGAAAGTGGAGAAGCTAGCAAGGACAGGACCCCCAAAGGGGTCTGCCAGGGAGACTGCAACCGGCGGACTGAGCGGCGTAAGAGTGGTGCGGTCTCGAAAGAAGGAGCGGGACGCACCCGAGTCCAGGGTGAAGGTGGCCTGAGCCGACGCAATATCTGAGAGAGCAGACTCACCAGTACCTGTGGCGGCAGACGCACTGGCACCTGGGGCACCAGAAGCACTAGCACCTAGATTAGCAGCCTCACCAGTACCTAGAGCAGCGGCCTCAATGCCCGGGTCAGGCGGTACACACAGGTAACATTCACCAGCAACACTAGCATCAACAGCATACATGGCAGCAAGAATAGCATCAAAGTCAAGATCAAAGATAGCAACCCCAGCCTTAGACAGATCTCCCCAGCGAGGGATCTCTGACGCCTCAGGGAACTGGCGACGCCACGCGTCCGTCAGGCGACCAAAGCAGCGCTGGGTGGAGTGCGGGCCTCCGCACTGCTCACCAGCTCGGTCGCCTGTACGAAGGATGTAAGCGCAGGGACCAAAACCCCCACCTCGCTGACGCGCAGTGTACCACTCACGAAGCTGCTGAGGGGACAGGGTTACACCACTCCGCTGCTGCTGGCGCTGACCACCACCGGCGCCACTTCTCTGCGCAGTGTCGCGACCCTCTCCACCACCGCCGCCGCCTCCGCCGCCACCGCCTCCGCCGCCTCCTCCACCTCCGCCTCCTCCGCCACCTCCGCCGCCTCCGCTCCCTCCGCCACCTCCACCGCCTCCGCCTCCTCCACTGCTTCCGCCGCCGCCGCCACCCCCGGCACCACTCCCACCACCACCCCCACTCCCTCCACTGCCTCCACCACCACCTCCACCGCCCCCTCCAGCCCCTTCAGCGCCCTTGCCCCCTTTGCCCTTGCCGGTGCGGCATCTCCCGCTCGGGGCAGACGCAGCGCCGACCGACTCGAAACCAACGAGGTCGGCCGCAGCAGCAGAGGCAACAGAGGGCAAGAGGGGGGAGGGAGAACACCCCTCAAAGACAGGTGTGCGAGGGTCACCACGAGAGGCTCCTACAGCGACTATGCTCTTCTCTATCGCTAGGAGGGCTTTCTCGAGGAGGTCAACGGTGAGAGTGGTGGGGCAAACTGAGAGGAAGTGGTCCCTGACTACGCGAAGAGAGTCAGGGAGCCGGGTGACTATGTAGTAGAGGGTGATGTACATGGGGGGGGGTTCTTGGCGCAGAACTCAGCAGGAAGTGTAGCGCGGTAGCCAGTGTCACTAGTGCGAAGGTGCGTAATGAGGTCAGCAACTGTGGGAAAGGCAGCAGGATCAGGGAAGAGGTACGGTAGCATGAGGCGGCTGAGTGCAGCAGTGGCAGGGGAAGAGTAGCGTGCAACTACAGCGTCGTACAAGGTCTGAGCACTCTTGTACTGGCTAAAGTGTGCACGCTCAGTGGTTGGTAAGTGGCGGCGCACAGCAAGGCGAGCAACAGCATCGCGCGTGGCCCACTGTGAGCGAACAGTGGCGTCGGCATCAGCAGCACGGGCAGGAGAGGCACCAGAAGTGAGGTCAAACAGGGAGAGGCCGTCCGCCCTATCGCATTGAAGAAACAGCTGGAGGTCATCGACCGAGACCTCAAAGTCAACGGCACGGCCCTCAGCATCAAAAGTGAGGACACTGGGGGTAGCCATGACTGCAGTGGCCTAAGAGGAAGTGAGCTCACCAGTCCGAGGAAGGAGGGGCCGGGGAGCATCGGTAGGAACAGCAGCTGCTAGACAGTAGGGCGGCTCGGTGGCTCGGCGGCGGGGCGGTTCGGCTGCAGGGCGGCTCGGCTGCTTGGCGGCTCGGCGGCAGGGCAGCTCGGCTGCTGGGCGGCTCGGCTGTTGGGCGGCTCGGCTGTTGGGTGGCTCGTCTGCGGGGCGGCTCGGCTGCTCGATAGGCGGGCGGCTCGGCTGCTGTGCTGCTCGGCCGCTAGGGTAGGGTGACGGGGCCGCAGGTGACGGGGGGGGGGGGCGTAGGTGGCGGCGGGGCCGCAGGTGGCGGCGGGGCCGCAGGTGGCGACGGGGCCGCAGGTGGCGGCGGGGCCGCAGGTGGCGGCGGGGCCGCAGGTGGCGGCGGGGCCGCAGGTGGCGACGGGGCCGCAGGTGGCGACGGGGCCGCAGAGGGGCCTAAACGAGGCCGTAAAGGGGCCAGACGGGGCCGCGGAGGTGCCTATACAGGGCCGCAAGGGGCCGTAAGGAGCCTAGGCGGGGCCGTAAGAGGCCTAGGCGGGGCCGTAAGGGGCCAGACGGGGCCGCGGAGGGGCCTAGGCGGGGCCGCAAGGGGCCTAGACGGGGCCGTGAAGGGGCCGTAAGGGGCCTAGGCGGGGCCGTAAGGGGCCGTAAGGGGCCAGACGGGGCCGCGGAAGGGCCTAGGCGGGGCCGCGGAGGGGCCGTAAGGGGCCTAGGCGGGGCCGTAAGGGGCCAGACGGGGCCGCGGAGGGGCCTAGGCGAGGCTGCGAAGGGGCCGTAAGGGGCCTAGGCGGGGCCGTAAGGGGCCAGACGGGGCCGCGGAGGGGCCTAGGCGAGGCCGCGACGGGGCCGTAAGGGGCCTAAGCGGGGCCGTAAGGGGCCAGACGGGGTCGTAAGGGGCCGTAAGGGCGGCGCGAAGGGGGGCCACTAAGGGCGGCTCGAGGCGCTACTCGGGTAGGAGTGAAGCGCGCTCCCGGCAGGGAAAAAAAAAAAATCGTGGTGGGCCCTAGGCAGCATTCCCACTCGGGAACCTGCTCGATACCATGATGAGAAACGAGAATGATTGAACTATGAAAGAGTTGGGTACAAGTACTAACCCTAATTGGGTTGTACCCCTTATGGGCTACCCCACTACAGCCTACACAAATGTATAAGCTATAATGTTCTGACAGTGTGCACCCCTCGGCACCGCACAGCACCCCTAGGAAGTCTCTCCGCACAAGCAGAGAGTCAGGGTGAAGGGCTGTTGGCAGGGCTGGCAGGGTTGGGAGGGTTAGGAAGGCTGGGCCTGCTGAAAGAGTGGGGAGGAGGGAAAGGTGCGAAGGCAACGTGTATAGGTGAGCGGCAAAGCGTAGGTGTGGAGAGTGGTGGAGATGAGTGGGTGGAGAGTGGTCAGGAAGGGCGGGTGGAGAGTGGTATGGGAGGGCGGCTAGAGAGGGAGGTGGCGGCGTGGGTGGATGGGCCGTGCAGGGCGAGAGGTGCAGAGGCATCGTGTGTGGGTGAGCGGCAAAACACAAATATGGAGAGTGGTGGAGATGGCCGGCTAGAGAGGGAGGTGGCGGCGTGGGCGGAGGGGGCGTGCAGGGCGAGAGGGGAGGGCGAGTGGAAGGTGGTGATGGTCTGTGAGGATACGGGCAGTGGTATACCACCCGAGGAGATGCGGTGGGTGCTGGATCCATATGGCGGCGACCCTCACCACTCCACGCGCTCCCCTGCTGCTGCTGATGCTGATGCTGCTGGTGCTGCTGGTGGCATTGATGGTGCTGCTGCTGTTGGTGGCCCTGATGCTGCTGCTGGTGGGCGTGGTGACAGCAAGAAGCAACGAAGAATCATGGTGAGTGAAGCGGGACATGAGTGCATGCGTGCGTCCGTGTGTGCATGTGAGAACGTCGACAGTTGTGCGCATTGAATCTCCCTTCCCTTCTTGGATGCTGCTTTTGGGTTTCTCTGTGCCCTACATTCTTCAACAAACCACTTACCCCTTTTTGCAGCCCTCTATCTCCCTCTCTCTCTTATCACTCCCCCTCTCTCTCTTCCCTCGTGCTTATCCTGCTGGCCGCACAGCAGCCAAGGAGGGCCAGCAGAGCCATGCCTCTCTCTCCAACTCTTTCTTAACACTCCCCCTATCTCACTTGCCTCCCGCTTTTTGTGTGCTTGTTCTGCGGTGCGCATACACAGCAGCCAAGGAGGGGCAGCAGAGCCACCCCTCTCACGCACGACGAGAGGGCTGCTGCTCGCCCCGCCTAGACGCCCTACCCTGTCCGCTTCCTCCTCTCCACCTCCCTTGTGAGTGCTTCCTCCTCTCCACCTCCCTCGTGAGTGCTTCCTCCTCTCCACCTCCCTCGTGAGTGCCTCCTCCTCTCCACCTCCCTCGTGAGTGCCTCCTTCTCTCGACCTCGTTAGTAGGTGTTGCTACGAGTGAACCAGTCCGGTTCTTTCTCTCCACCTCCCTCGTGAGTGCTGCAATACTCAACTGCATTGTCGCCTCAAGAGTGTCATGGCGACCAAATTGACAGTCCGGTTGTCTGTTGATGACACAATGTTGAGTTTGCTAAGTCCGGGGTGAGTGTTACCACCTTGCTAAGGACGAAGGAAGGGTCCAGAAGGGGTTGTGGCTCTCACACTTTACGGGTAGAGGGAACGGGTTGTCTCAAAGACACTCTTTTATCACGATGGACGGGTCCAGAACGTGTCATACATGTTTTGTGAGGGCATACACTACAACCCTCCACTCACAACCCTCCCCACTCTTCCCTGTCACTCTCCTTTCCTCCCCACCCCTCTCCACTCCACCCCAGGTGGCGGAGATGCGGGGAAGCATGGCAGTGCTGTCAGACAGTGTCATCAGCACCACCATCCTTCTGGCCCTACCCCTCTCTGCACCGCCCCCCCCAACCAAACCTGGGGGCAGCAGCAGCAAGCGTTGGGGGGGCGTGAGGGGCAATCCAGAGGGGTGCAGCAGCACTGGATGCAGGGTCCCAGAGGCCATTCTTGGAGCTCCTCTTTGCACTCTGTCCTCTTAAGCCCAGTGGCACCTTTGAGCCCAATCGCCCCGTTGAGTCCACTCAACCCTTTAAGCCCAGCGGCCCCTCTAAGCCCCGTAAGCCTGCGGCTACAAGCCATGCCAGAGCTCTCTCCCCACTTAGGAGCAGGCGGCTTCGGGAGCAGCTTGGGGGGGAGCAGCATGGGGGTTGTGGGGGGGGTTGTTGGGGGAGGTTTGGGCGGCGGAGCGGGCGGCGTAGAGGCGGCGGTGCGGGCGGCGGTGGCGGGGCGGCGGGTGGCAGTGGTGGATGATAACGCGGTGAACCGCATGGTGGCGCGGCGAACGCTGCAGGGCTACGGGGCAGACGTGCTGCTGCTGGCTTCAGGAGAGGACACCCTGCAAGCTGTCTCCTCCCACATGGACCCCTCTCCCCACCCCCCCTCCTCGTGCCTCCAACTACTGCTGCTGGACCTCCACATGCCCCCCGGCATTGATGGGTGAGTGTTTCACTGCCTCACCCTTAGGGGTGCCCTCTTTCACGCCCCAAAATGCTCTCTCTGTCTCACCCCACACATGCCCTCCCTGCCTCATCTCAACCCCACTTGCCCTCCCTGACCCATCTCCACCCCACATGCCCTCCCTGTCTCTTCTCACCACCGCCATTGCGGCCAGCCACCATTGCTTTGGTCCAATGGTACTAGTACCAATGCTCCCACATGCCTTCTACTTGTACCACCAATCAATTGACTTTTGAGTCGACTCAAAAGTCACCTCGGTCCAATGGTACTAGTACCAACAATGCTCCCACATGCCTTCTACTTGTACCACCAATCAATTGATTTTTGAGTCGACTCAAAAGTCACCTCGGTCCAATGGTACTAGTACCAACAATGCTCCCATATGCCTTCTACTTGTACCACCAATCAACTGTCCCCCTGATACAGATTTGAAACGGCTCGTCGAATCCGTCAAATGGAGGCAGCACAGCAGCTTCCAACCGTGGCAGAAGCAACAGCAGAAGCAACAGCAAGCGACGAGGCAGCAATTGAATTTGCTTTTCATACATCTCCAAGGGTGAGAGCAGCTGACGAGACAGCCAACGAATTTGCTTTCCAGACACATCATGACTCAACAGCAGCCAGCAGTTCAGCCGACGAATTCACTTTCCAAACGTCTCAGGAGTCAACAGCAGCAGATGAGGCAGTGAAAGAAGTGCAGGAAATGGCGGGTTCAAGAGGAGCCTCTCCTCAACGGCTGTGCATTATAGCATTGACGGCAAATCTGGATGTTGGGGTTGTTGGGAACAATAAGTCTTAAAGCGCCTCTGTCGTGTCGAAACTCAGGGCACAAGCGAAGCAGTCCAAATCGAAGCATCGCGAATCAACCCTCGGAGGTTAGGGTAACCGCCTGGAGGTTACGCAAAGGTCAAAAGTCAGCGACCTTTGACTTGACAAAATACAGCGCGACAGCAAGGACACACAACTGACTCGACATTGAGCAGTTGCCCGAGTCGCACTGTATCGAATCGCAACAGCAAAACAGTTTAATTATATCTATTCGTATTCCTTGTACTCTTATATAAAGCCTTGTATTTGCTTGTTTTAATCAACTTACTTTGCCCTCACATACTAGCGCAAGGTGGTTCAAGGACTTTTCATTCAAACGCTTCCGCTATTACAATCCTACTCAGACTTTAACTCTACAAAGATCCTAGGGCATCTCAGCCCAACATGGTATGAGAGCAGATAGAGTTCAAAGTTACTTTTTCTCTTAATACTTAATACAAGGAAGACATGTCTACTAGGAAGGAGAGGAGCTCCTCCAACGGTTCTCCAGGCACTACCCCTACTCCACCTCCTGTCTCTGGTCTACAGACGGAAGAAGGGACTACCACGAGACCAGCAGCTGGGTCTACGAAAACGCCCGCAGGCTTCGATCCAAGCATGATGGAGAAATTCTTCTCCTTCATGTCCTTCTACGAGCAGCACCAGCAAGGAGTACCTGCGCAGTCAAACAACAGCAACAACAACAACGTAACTCCTATGAGTCTCGACGGCTCATCCTATGCACGCGGAATTCAACAACAACAACAGCAGCCTACCTTTGCGTCGTACGAGCCCCAGCGTGGCTCCGTCAGCTTCATGCCGCAACCGCAATCTGCACCGGGACAAGAAAGGGCATTGGACGCATTACAAGTTCAATCGCAATTCGCGCATGTTCTCAAGCTGCAAACGACAAAGCCCTTCGACGGAAAAGACTTCTTCACCTGGTCGTTCGAGTTCGAACTGATGATGGAAGGAGCACAGATTCTCGGCTTCTTCGACGGGTCCCTGCCATATCCAACAAACGGGACACAATATGAGAAGCAGCAGTACACCTATCAATCAATGATGGCGTACACGATACTGCTAAGAAACATCACCCCGACCCAGCAGCAGAACATCAGGACTTACCGAGGCTACGGCAACTCCGCGGAGCTCGCGTACAACCACCTGAAGAACCTGTATCAAGCAACAGACAGAGTAAATCAAAGCAGGTTAATGGCGCAGTTGACAACAATTGAAATGAAACCAGGCGAGAAAGGCATGGCTTATATCAGCCGCTGCCGCGAACTGCGCGACAAGCTTCTTCGATGCGGAGGGTCGATTTCAGAAGACGCCTTTGTCACGGTGGTCATCGGCGGTCTCGGCCCCCACTGGCGCTCCACTCGCACCATATTACGAGCACACGGGAGGATTTCCGAAGCGGCACTCTGCGCCGAAATTCATGCCGAGCAGCAGGATATGGACCTGCAAGAAGAAAGACACAAGAAGAAAACATTAGCACCGGAGTTTGCATTTCACACTCAGCGACGATACAACAACAACAACAATCGACAACAGCAACAAGTGAAGACGGTACCTCCGTTTTGCCACATCTGCAAGACTTCGGGACACCCTCGCACGCACTGCCAGTCTCGTCAGACAACACCACAGTGACAACTCCGGCCTTCAAGCTCCCAAGTTGCCTCAACACAAGCAAATCCGACGACCTCAATCCAAGCTTCAACGAGTCCAACAGGACAATCTGCACAAGGAGCAAGAAACATTATCAATTGCATGGTGAAGATAACTGATTCGTGCACAACCTAATCACCACCTCACTACTCACCGGAAGAAGAGCTCGACAACAGGACGCCTCGCCGCGAGTCATGTCAGAATCCCAACCACTAGACCATTGGGATAAAAGGGCTTGTTTCAGTAGCGGGTCAGTGCGCCCATAACCCCCCAGGCCAACATGCCTGTAACCCTTCCCTAGGATCAATCGGGGATCACCAGTGGACCTCTGACACCCCCCCGCACTGGGATGCCCGAAGTGCACACACTGGGATTCGAACCCGAGACCTTCGCTCTGATACCATGTCAGAATCCCAACCACTAGACCATTGGGATAAAAGGGCTTGTTTCAGTAGCGGGTCAGTGCGCCCATAACCCCCCAGGCCAACATGCCTGTAACCCTTCCCTAGGATCAATCGGGGATCACCAGTGGACCTCTGACAAGTCACTCCAACCGAATCCGACGTACGCCGCCATCGCTCAAAGCGAACCGTCCGGGCAAGACACCTGGTTCTTGGACAGTTGCTGCGGACAACATATGTGCTCCTCCGGACGCTTCGTTCAACGCGAACATCGACTCCAGCGAGAAGTAGTCATCACGGTCGCCAACAACCAGAACCTGCGCACACGACGACAAGGAGTAGTTCAGCTTCAATCAAGAGAGACAAACGTCATACTGCACATGTCAAAGGTACTCATCGCAGAAGGACTCGGTTATAACTTACTGAGTGTCAGCCAGCTGATGGCGAAAGGCATCCACTTGGAAGCCGACAGCACCACCCAGGAGTTTAAACTGTACCACGGGAAGGGCGGCCTCTACATCGGAAGAGCAGTTTTGAAGAACAACGTCTTCGTCCTCGATTTCGTCCCCGACCTTGGCACTGCAGATAGCGACGCCATCGTCAACTTCGCCGATTGGACACATCCCCCGGATCTCAATCCCGACTTCAGCCCGGGAGGTTTCCGGTACTCGCACACCATCCCTGAAGCAGAACGAACACGAGCGTTAGCAACAATTCAACAAACGGCAGTAGTAGAGACAACATCGACAGCAGCAGAGACAACATCGGCAGCAGCAGAGACAACATCGGCAGCAGCAGAGACAACATCGACAGCAGCAGAAACATCATCGGCAGCAGCAGGACCAACGACACCAGTCATCGTCCACGAAGCACCACCAACACCTGCACAGCAACTGAACCCGACTCAACGAGAAGTCCACAGAAGCGCCAATGTCGTCGCCAGCTTCTACTCCAACTCCGACGCGTATCAACGCTCACCCGGACATCGCGCTCCTGAAGACATCTGGCACGCACGCACAGGACATCCAAGCAACACAGTATTAAATAACACAATATGAGCAGGAGTCCTCGACAAAGATTCGCTACTACTACCCGACGGCAGAGAACTTCAACGGGCACGAGGAACTTGCCTCATCTGCCCCGAAGCCGACTTACCCCATCGACCGTTTTCTTCTCACCACAACCCGAGCGCACCTGCATACGCACCACTCGAGAAAGTATACAGCGACATCCTCTTCAATCGAGAACCAGGACAAGTCACCTACAATTACACGATAACCTTCATCGACGCCGCCACTCGATACGTCTGGCATCGAAACCTACCCAGCCGCGACATGGCACTCGCAGCGTTCGCCGCTTGGCTACCGGTAGCAGAGAGGGAGTCAGGAACACAGCTGAAAAGCTTCCAGTCAGACGGAGGAGGAGAATACACCTCTCAGCGCTTCAAGCAGTACCTGGTGGAAAGGGGAATCAAGCAACTCCTCTCCCTTCCCTACGCCCATCAGCAGCAAGGTGTTGCAGAAAGAATGAACAGGACTCTGCAGAACAGCATGCGCAAACTGCTACGTGGCATGCGGCTACCCAACCACCAGTGGCCTGCAGCAATGGACCATGCTGTCATGCTGCACAACTTGCTGTCATCGTCGTCACTCCCGAACAACGCATCACCGCATCTGCTGTGGACAGGAAAGCAGGGCAGCACAAGAATGTTACGAGTTTTCGGATGCATGGTGCAGTACCGACCCCCAGAAGCACGAGCGGGAAGATTTTCACAACGGGCACAGTGGGGACTACACCTCGGCATCGAGAAAAATTACAACGCGTGGAAAATTTTCGATGTCCACTCAAAGGAAATAGTAGCAGCACGTGATGTGATCTTCTACGAGCGACTCACCCTTCAAACGTACCTCGCCAACTTGCACGAGAATCAGGACCCCACAGGTGGTTTTCGTGGTGACCGAGCCTTCGCCTCAGCAGCGGACGAAGCAGACTGGGATGAACAGAACGTCGACAACGCATCGGAAGAAACCGGACCTCTCCCGTACTGCTCCGTCGACGTGCCCATGGACGAAGACAATCCTCGCGACAGTGTCAACGCCGAAGT